AGAGTGAAGAAAATACCTAGAATTACCCTTACCTGAATTGTTTTGTTGAACTACCACTTCCTCTCTGAGCAATTCTGCACCTTGTGCTCCGGGGTTCTTTTTGCTCAGCAGTATGTATTGAAGTGAGTCTTGTTTTCCTAATTGTCTTTGTGCAGGCTGGGAGAAACCACAGTTGACTGGCATTCTTTTGGCTGTCTGCCAAGTTAAAACTTGTTAAAACAAATGAATGGAATATTGGCAGTTGTTTGCAGTAAGGTACACTTAAACAAAACAAACCCTTAAGCTGAAAAAGGACGTGATATATGCTGAGAGGTCACCTTGGAACTACTGGCTTCTGAACACATCCTTTTAGAAGGGACATTTGAGAGTTTTCAGCCAGTGATGTCAAATACTCATTTGGTCTGAACAAACAGCACGCTATGGCCTCATGGCGAAGGCACAAGTGCAGGTTCCTTACAGAGGTTACAGGGCCTAGCACGCTGCTTAAATAAGTTTATTTGGCCAAAGCACAATATGGTGCTAACAAAGTGTAACACCCAAGTTACTTGACATTAATAGCAAGGGAATTCAGTAATCATTTAAATTACTTTGCCAAGTATATTCTAAAAGCCTACAACTAAGCCAGTTCTCCAAGGTAGAATTTTTTCTTGCATGCTTTTGTCCTGGGTTTGGCTGGGATAGGGTTAATGCACCCAGGTCTTTGCTCAAAGGCAATCTGGTGGATGGGTTTGTCTTTGCCAAGACTGACCCAGGATGTTTTCCCTAAGAAGTTCTTCACTGGAGACACTTTCTGTGTACCACAGGGATGTTATCCCCTTCTGTAGTACCTCAGTTTTGGCTAGGCAGGGCCGGGTCAGTTGGCAGATCCTCTTGTGTTAACTAAGCAGGTGGCCTTTGCTACATGAGTGTCCCAGTGTGTGAAGGTCCCACCTGGCCCCCCTCGTTCTCGGCGTAGTTTCAGCCGTGCGTTGCACTGCCCAGATTTCCTGGAGGCTGGTGCGTGGTGGGGGACGTGAAATAGCCGCTCAGTGCCGCACGTGCTCCCTGGCCTGGCCCTCTGTGAGGCTGTGTCAGAAGTGAGTCCCGTTGCCGGACCTGATTCTTCCTGGGGTGCTGCATCGCTACAAGATCTGCTTTTCAAGACCCGGGATGGTGTTCTGGGCAGTGCTGTGGGGCACTGGATACATTCCCAGCCACCCAGGGGTCGTTCCCACCACTGTGAGCACACGGTGCTTTTCTTGGCGGGACTGTGGCAGCGTGATGTCGTCACCCTGCCAGGCCTCTCCGTGTTTGTATCTCAGCCGTCGTCTGCTGTTCCTCTGGGACTTCAACCGCTCACCTTGCTTGAGGGCAGCACGTCTCACATTCGTGGGTCACCTGTGTGACAGTGTCCATGGTCAGGTCCACCCTGTCCTCCTCCAGTGTTGGGGGAGGTTCCAGTACAGTCCCAAGAGTGAGGTTAAGACAAAGGAGGCCAAATGCTGTGTACCCAACACAACTTTTGTTACAACAGGAGGAGTAGGAGTAGGACACCATGGTGTTAAAGGCAGAAGCCAAGCGAGCAGTCGGCGCAGAGCTGCACGGACAGGCACCACTGTGGCATCCCCTTGGTCTGAAGTTGTCTCAGCTTAGGTCGTGGGTGGTCACACCAGGCAGTGTCTGCAGCAGCTTGAATAAGGTCCAGTCAGAGTGTTGATATCAGAGGTCATCAGGGCAGCAGCAGGTCTGCTGGGTCACATGTGCTTTTTCAGGCTCATTGTGATGTGTGCTTTGTGTGGACATGGCGTGATTGATGTGCACCTGCATGAACTTGTTGGAGGGTCTTCCATACCCTGGGACCCCACAAGGCACTGTGACTGACCCGAGCTCAGTGAAAACCAGCTCAGAGTGGCTGCAGTCCTACAACTGCAGGTCTGTGTTCCTGACAACATGGTCTGCGGGCTGGGCAAGCACCACACAGTTCATGCAGTTCATTCTTCTGTACGTAGTCTTCCATCCGAGGCAATCTCTGAGACAGGTACTTCACAGTTCAGTCTCTCACACAGCCGTTCTGTTCTGTCTGTAGAAACTGGAGGGGCATTTTTCTTGGATGAATCCCCTTTCACGCCTGCTTTGCACCACAGCTCAGGTACTCGTGCAGCCAGGGTCAGAGTGGGTTTCCTATCCCACTCCCTCATGTCCTCTCCGTGGTCACATAGGTAAAACCCCAGGGCACCATGTGATGTGTACCTTCTGTAGTGTCTGGCGTGGGTGGGCAGGGTCTGCTTCTAATAGCTGAGATAGGGGCCTGTATGGGTAGAGAGCAGGACATGTCCTGTTTGAGGTTTGAATTGCTGCACCTTCCAGGACAGTTCCTGCACAGCCAACATGTAGACCCATAGGGAGGAAGAGAGACTTCCTTCATATTGCCAGAGTTGGCCAGCCAGTTCATCATGTCCCTGCTTGGCCATTTTTCCAGGACACTGCTGCCAATGAACTAGTATATGATGGAGGTGCACTTCATAGAAACTACCCTGATATCTGCTGGAAGAC